CTGCCAGAGTGGTGCTAGCAATGACATGCTTGCTAGAGACAGCCAACGCAGAATTGGGGGGGGGCTTTCTCTACCACTTTAATCATTCTATGTGTGGTGTGCAAAAAGGAACAAACCGGGCTAAAGGTCATGTCACCCACCCTGGTGCCACAGCCCAATATCAAAGGATCAGTGTGCTTTTTTTATCATCATCAATGGAAAACTCAGCAGTGGCCAGAGGATTGGAAAAGATCAGTCTACATCCCAACCCCAAAGAAAGGTAGTGCCAAAGAATGCTCCAACTACTGTACAATTGCACTCATTTTACATGCTAGCAAGGTTATGCTCAAAATCTCCAAGGTAGGCTTCAGCAGTATGTGGACCAAGAACTCCCAGAAGTACAAGCTGGATTTTGAAGGCGCAGAAGTACTAGAGACCAAATTGTTAACATGCACTGGATTATGGAGAAAGCCAGAGAGTTCCAGAAAAACATCTTCTGCTTCATTGACTATGCAAAAGCATGGCAGAAAGTGAGGAGAATTTAAAGAACCTCTTAATGAGGGTGAAAGAGGAGTGCGCAAAAAATGGTCTGAAGGTCAACATCAAAACAACTAAGATCATAGCCACTGGTCCCATCACCTCCTGGCAAATAGAAGGGGAAGATATGGAGGCAGTGACAGATTTTACTTTGTTGGGGTCCATGATCACTGCAGAGGGTGACAGCAGCCACGAAATTCAAAGATGCCTGCTTTTTGGAAGGAAAGCAATAATAAACCTAGACAGCACCTTAAAAAGCCACTCTTCTCTCCCCCCCCAGCTTAATTCAAGGTTTCTCTTTTGCTTGCCTGTTCTTTTTCATAGTTTTGAGACAGTCTTTCTCACTCACTCTCTTTCTGACACACATACACATCCATCTTCCCACTCTCCCTCCCTCCCTCCATTTTCTCCATACATTTAAATAAGCCCCGGATTGATGGATTGCCCTGGGCTAATCCACAGCTGTAACCAATCAAGCAGGCTTATCTCTGATCTCTGAAAGAACGAGGATTTACAAGTGCCCTGCTGCAACCAAGGAAGTAACAGGGAGAGGTGGCTTACCATTTGAGGTTTGGCTGCAGAGGGTGGGGGTTGGTAGCACTCTGCTCATTACCCCCAGGATTTTCACTTTCATCCCATTTGAGGTAATGTACCCCTGTTCCCTGACCACTGCCCTATAGAAATTAATTGCCCACCCCTGCTTTAGGGAGTCAGTCCATCTTTCATTTCGTCTTCTTCTTTTCCTGCTCCCTCCTATCTTTCCCAGCATTATTGTCTTTTCCAGAGAATGGATGATCTTGTTCTACAGTGACACATTCTTACACTTGAAGATCTTTTCTAATTCCTTCTTTGCTGCCCTTCCTAGTCTGAGACTTCTGATTTCTTGGCTGAAGTCTCCATTTGAATTGATTATTAGAAACAAGGTATAAAAATCTCTTCAACTGTTTTAATTTCTTCATTGTCAAAGTTGTCTAGTTCTTCTGTAGTCATGATTGTTGTTTTCTTAACATTCTACTGCAGTTCTGCTTTGGCACTTTCTTCTGTCATTTTCATCAGAAGTCATTTCAAGTCTTTGCTGCTTTCTGCCACCTTTTGCTGCCTTTATGTCATCTGCATATCTTAAATTATTGATGTTTTTTCCACCAACTTTCACTCCTCCTCCTTTTGAATCTAGTCCAGCTTTCAGTATATGTTCTGCATACAGATCAAACACATAAGGGGATAAAGCGTACCCTTTTTTGACAGCTTTGTTTATAGCACTGGTTTCCAACCTTGGGTGATGCAGGTGTTCTAGGACTGCAACACCCTTCACTGCTAGCTGTCCTGGTTGGGGTTTCAGGGAGATGCAGTCTAAGAACACCTGAGTTCCACAACGATGGAAATCGCTGACCATTCTGTCTCTCCATCTTCTGTCCTGACCGTAGCTTCTTATCCACAGTACACGCTTTTAAAAATCTGATTTAAATCAAGTACCCCGTGGCTGCACCTGTCTTCAGTCTCCTTTGATACATCAGCCTGTGTGACAAGTGGCCAGGTAACAGTATGTTAAGAAATTATCAAGATCAATTCCTGAAAACAACCCTAAAGGTTTGTAGTGGTGTAAAATATTTCCATAACACCTCTACCACCTTGCTTGCCTTTTTCTAGAATGTTTTTGGTGCTGAAACTTGGATAACCACAATTTAGATGATGGATAGAGAAAGGAATACACAGAATAAGGTATTTGGAGGTTAACCCATCTCACCTGAGAGTCTTAACTATATGAGACACTACTTCCATATTCAGAGGAAATAAATCTTTAAGAGGAAAAGTTTTTCTGATATTCTAATACCACCTTGCCTCAATCTGCATTTAGCATATTAGCTTAATTTTGTTTTCTTATTGACTAACTGGAAGACAGGACAGCATTTTTGTGTATCTGATGTCTCAGGCAGGTAGAATGAAAACTTTGTTTTGCTTGCCAAAAACAACGGTATAAGAGAAAGAAATATGCTTTAATGAGTCATGTGCGGTCAGAGGGCCACATACAGTCTGCGAGCCACTCCTGTCTATCTTGTTCTACAGTGACACATTCTTACACTTGAAGATCTTTTCTAATTCCTTCTTTGCTGCCCTTCCTAGTCTGAGACTTCTGATTTCTTGGCTGAAGTCTCCATTTGAATTGATTATTAGAAACAAGGTATAAAAATCTCTTCAACTGTTTTAATTTCTTCATTGTCAAAGTTGTCTAGTTCTTCTGTAGTCATGATTGTTGTTTTCTTAACATTCTACTGCAGTTCTGCTTTGGCACTTTCTTCTGTCATTTTCATCAGAAGTCATTTCAAGTCTTTGCTGCTTTCTGCCACCTTTTGCTGCCTTTATGTCATCTGCATATCTTAAATTATTGATGTTTTTTCCACCAACTTTCACTCCTCCTCCTTTTGAATCTAGTCCAGCTTTCAGTATATGTTCTGCATACAGATCAAACACATAAGGGGATAAAGCGTACCCTTTTTTGACAGCTTTGTTTATAGCACTGGTTTCCAACCTTGGGTGATGCAGGTGTTCTAGGACTGCAACACCCTTCACTGCTAGCTGTCCTGGTTGGGGTTTCAGGGAGATGCAGTCTAAGAACACCTGAGTTCCACAACGATGGAAATCGCTGACCATTCTGTCTCTCCATCTTCTGTCCTGACCGTAGCTTCTTATCCACAGTACACGCTATGCATCAGGACAATCAAGTGTTGAGGCACACCTATTTCATTCAGAAATCATGTATGTTTCAACAAAAATTGTCCAAGTAGGATGTAGATAACCACAATTTTCATCCCGTAATTGCTACTGTAAACGGTCTACTTGTGTAGAAGGGACAAGTAGAGATTTCAGGCTTTGTTAGGATTGAGACATAGAGCTGTAGCATGAAGTAACTAAGAGCTGTAATGAAAGAGTTGCCAAAAAAGAGATTGTGGCGATCTACTCTGAAGTCCCTATCCCCCCAGGCCTTCACGAGGTTCTTGCTCTTCTTCTTTCTTCGCTGCCACCAGATAGTAATTCTTTAATATCAGTTACTTATAGAGACAAGTGTGCTGTTCAAAACATAAGTCTTTTATTTGATCAGGGAATTAAATAAATGAGGAATATTCGTGGGATAAATCACAGGCTGCCAATCACTTGTATGTGAATCAAATCTGATATAACTTTAAAACTCTTTTAACCCTCTGTTTCAATCTAGGCTCTTACAAATCTCTAACTCACTTTCCAGACACTTTCAAGTTTCACACTGTCTCTCACTCACAGAATCTCCCCTCATACTCCATACACCAGTCTTTATATCCAACTCCCTTCCCCCTTGGCTCCACCTTCTGTCCACTCATAGGCTCCTTCTTCACTGTTCCTCTGTGACGGAGAGGTGAGAGCAGGGCTGTTCACTACAGAGATGTTTCTGTGAGGAAGATAACATGGAACCTCTAATCAATGGTGATTGTGCAGTAGTTACTACATTGTTACCATTGATGAAAATAACATTGCAGGATTTATTGGCTTCTCAATTAAATATCAATCCAGACTTCCCTTATTAGAGCATATCAGGGAAATCTGGTTTATTACAGTCTAGGTTCTTTGTACTCAGAATAATAGAAAATATAGGGCAAGAATGTATGGTCATAGCACTTGCCTCCAAGATTGTAATGAATGGTTTGTGCAACCTGGGATCATTATCTAAATACAATTGTCTCTATACTGTTTCTTATTTTTGCCATCTGCTTATCTGTAAATACTTAAATGACTGTTCCTTATTGCTGCCATCTGCTTATCTGTAATTTTTAAATGACTTTTGTTTTCTAAGCAGTTATGTTTCTTTTGTCCACTTATGTTTTTCTTTTTGTTTTGACAGTTCATTCTTCTGCCACGAAGGAACCTAATGGAGTGAAAGTTGTAGGATCAACCAATTTGCCAGGTATACAGTTAAAGATTTTAAATTCATACATGCTAATCACTCTTTAAAATTGTGTGGAGACTTCAGCTATTGATTGTGTTAAATCTATCAATTTGCGGCTTAATGAACTGAGAATATGCACAAGGTTCATGCATGGACATGCAGACCCTTTGCTTCACTCCTCCATATTAAATGGGAAAGCAATGCAAACAAGCTGCTGTTTTCATGACATCTGAGTCAGGACCCATGGTTTTTTTAAAATCTCTATTCAATGCGCGATATGATGCCATGGTATATTCTGTGCCTTTTGGTTTCCTGCCTTGTTTTTGTGATAGGAATAATAAAAGTAATCAAGTTTGTGCTTGCCCAGGTTTATTAGTCTGATGCATAGTAATTGGAATGAAACTTAACTCATGAATGTCTTGTTTTCTTCTAGGGCAATTTTAATCAGTCACACCCTCAAAATTTTACACATTCTTACCCATTGAACTCACTAGGACATATATAGAATTGTCTATAGTACTGGTTCCCAACCTTGGATTACCCAGGAATTCTTGGACTGCAACTTCCAGAAACCCCAGCTAGCAGAAGCTGCTGGTGAAGACTTCTGGGAATTGCAGTTCAAGAACATCTGGGTTAACCAACATTGGGAATCTTTGGTCTATAGTAAGAGTACCGTGGGCAGTTTTAGCAATGTAATTGCAAAAGAGAGATTTTTAGAAGTATAGTGTTTGGGACATTCTAACTGTAATCAAAATTTGACAGAATGGGGAAATAGGAAGGAACTGATTTTGAGGTAATGGAATCTACTTCTAATAGTCAAAAGAAAATTGTATTTCTAACTTGTACTTTAAAAACAAAATTATAACCTTGAACAGATAAGGGGACAATATGCATCCTTGTCTGACACCTTTGCTAATAGTAAGGTTTTCATGTTTGCTTACAGCACTTACATTTTTCCTACTATCTAAGAGAACTGAGGCTTTAAAAAATTTGTATTTCATAATTGTTGATGGGTAAATGGGGATGGATCCTCTTGGTTGCTTACAATTGGTATTAATCATATACAGGTAATTTTGGGCTTCAGGAAGCAGCATGTATGTAGCAGAAAATATTTTTATATGCAGCAGGATATTTGGCAGAGGATAAGATGACTGGAGCATGCTTGAAGATTAATGCTGAGGTGCTTTTTCATTCAGTTTGAAATCTTGTGTCATATATGTTTTCATTTAATTAATTGTATTTGTTACAGCAGCTTCAATGGCTGGCTGGATGTTTCTAGGCCCAATTCAGAGTGCTGGTTATGACCTATAAAGTCCTATGCAGTTTAAGTCTCAGCTGCCTGGCAGGCTAGATTGCCCTCTTCCCTCTTGTCTTTCTAGCAACACTTGAAGACCATTTTAAAAACATATTTTTAACAATTAATTGGGCAGTGTTTGATCTTATGTGCTGAATGTTATGAAGATGAGGATTTGAATGACATAGAAATGTCAGAAACATGCAAGCATTAATGACCTTAAAGTAAGTTAAATGTGACCAATTAAATAAAAATAACTCTACAATTTTTCTGAAATTAGCACTTAATTTTTAAAAGCCTGTGCTTATACAGACACATAAAAATTACAAGATTTATTCTTCTTCACTTCCAGTACAGATGTGCTAGTACTGAAAGAATCAAATTAACCTTTTGAGAGTAATATGGTCATACCTGGATTAGATTTCATCAATAACAGAATCACATTGGATGATCATGTGTATCTTGAGGCTATCAAACTCAAAACTCCTTCTGTTAGTATGTTTTGTATCTGGAGATACAGTCTGACATTATAAGAGGTTATCTGAACAAATTTGAAAAGGGACAGCTCATCTGTAGAAAATTCTGGTTCAAAGACATCAGATTTTTGCTTCATCCATTCAGAAGGCTCATGGCTCCATGCCAAATATGGCTCCTGCTCCGGTCTGTGCTGGGTGATTTCTTCAGAGGGAAGAAGTCCGGGTTTGCCTCCGATTCTTCTCCCTCTGCTGCTCCCCATCTGCTTCAGAGAGACTTCTCCTAGACTCTCCTTCGATTCCCATTTCAAAAGGGGGATCCCGGACCGGGCGGTTCCAGTATTTCCAGAGAGAGCTCTTCTCTGGAGCTACTGACAGCACCACAACAATGCCCCGCCTCCTACATTAGGATAGTTGTTTTGAATCTCTTCGACAACTCTGTGTAAACCATGTGCAAGGCATGTGAAATGGATCATTTCCAGATTAAGAAGTATATGTTCCTTGGCTGCTTTAGTCATGTATGGAGTGGCATCTTTTGCAAAGAGGAAGATGTTTCACCTTTGTGCACCACCTAGCCAGAGCAGTTTCATAGAAATGTCAGAAAGAGTAGCAATAGTGGAACTGTTTGCTTTTTGTAGGGTTTCACATGTTAGAAGAAATTTCCTTTCTTCCTTCACCAGGCTTATCAAAATATCTTCCATTTACATCACTTGTTTCAACCCATATCTTATTATCAACAGCAGCTCTTATCTTTCCTAACACATCTTTAGAGCAGGCAGAGATGTAATTATTCCTTAGAGTTGATTTTAGGCATGTTGAAATTGTCAGGGGGGTTGCTGATTACCAAAGTATCACCAAAATATGACCAAAACATAACATTTATTACAAAATTAAGCAGAAATATGATGTAATATTTTTAAAAGACCCAAATATGACTTTGAAGGCAAAATAAAAACCATGTAATTCTCTCCAGATTACTCATAAATATTTTCAATTAACTTAAAAATTTATATAACGGTTTTTATTGTAAACATCCTCATCATAGTTTCACGGATAAAGAATTACCGCTAAACACAGTGCGGATACTGAGTCAAGATATTCAGATGAAAATTTGAATTGCCAAATTTGCATGCTATATAGACAATACTGTCTGTACATCATGGTAAGATCCAATAACTAGATGGAATAGAGTTTAAAATAATTATTGAGTGATAAAAATGTTAAAGAACCTGACAGAAAGGGAATACGGTGGACACTCGACTTACAAAATTAATCCGTACTAGAACAATATCAAGAAATTTCAAACAGTATTACAAGCAGTTGTAGACTCTACAAATAACACCACCAGAGCTACAGAACTGGCAATATTAGGAACAGCATACATAATTTTCCAACATTTAATAGATAGGTTTTTGATTAAAACTTGTATCTTATATAATACCAGTCAGTGTTTTTATAGTTTTAATTGACTATGCCTGATATATTTTTGAACAGAAACAAAATAAAATTCTGTAGTTGTATTGCTTATATGCTTTCGTTGCAGTTCATCATTATATTTATTCTGTATTTTCAGTGAAAGTTTATGTCAGATTGAATCATAACAGCCCACGTATTCTATGTATAACAAATCATCTACGGAATTCAGAATTGATTGATCCAATATTTCAGTGGCATGGACCGGGAGGTGATCTAGTTGCAGGTGAGTTTTACTCCTCAGATAGAACCTGCTTTTAATTCTTTAAGCTAAACCACAGAGAAAGAATGCATTAATTCAGTGTTTATTTTTTTCATGTTTCTTAGTCTTGGGATCAATAACAGAATGTCCTGAAATCCCACACAGTGAATCAGTGGCCAAAATTATCTTGTGTAGTTTTATGCGGTATAAACCATGTTTCACCATAATATGGCAATGGGAATATTTAATTTAATTTAAATTAAATGAAAGCTTCCTCCCCACCCCCCCATACACACTTTTCAGGTTCTAAGACTCACTCTTCCTATTTGCGATCCAGTCACCTTCAACTTATACTAACTGTATGAATGAATGACCTAGAAACAGCTCTGCCTAACCCTTGTAAACTCAAGGCTGTAACTTCCTTTATGAAGTCAATCCATTTGGGTACTACCTTTGGGTAGTGTGGGCGGCATATAAATTAAATAAATAAATAAATAAAATAAATAAATTTGGTTTTCCTTTCCTGCTGCCTTTTGCCTTCCCTGGCATTATTGTCTTTCTAGCGAGTCTTGGTTTCTCATGATGTGCCCAAAGTATGATAGCCTCAGTGTCATCATTTTTGCTTCAGATAAATTTGATTCAGTTTAGAACCTACTTTTTGTCTTTGTGGCAGCCTAGATTATCCTCTTCCAGTATTACAGTATATTTAAAATGAATCACTATCTTTGCTGTCATTTTTCTTCACTGCCAGATTTCAGTTTGCATAATAACCAGGAACACAATAGTGTGGGTGTTGATTGCCTTGGTCTCCAATGACACTTGAACTTTTTAAATTCTTTCATTGCTGGGAAGCCCTCTCCTGGGCTTCCTCCCTCATTTCTAGTTTGGATTCAAATGTATGTTTGGAAATTGCTTTCATTTTTATTAGTCACTGAGTGCCATTTCATTTGACTGGTATAAACACAATTTATCTTAACTATGCATAGTTTCATAGCACAGTTCATGACACTAGCTTGTGAATCAACCAGAATTAAATGAAAGAATTTAAAAAGTTCAAGTGTCATTGGAGAAAAATGAGGAGGACTTAAAGAACTTCTTAATGAGGGTGAAAAAGGAGAGCGCAAAAATGGTCTGAAGCACGACATAAAAAAAAACCTAAGATCATGGACACTGGTTCCATCACCTCCCGGCAAATAGAAGGGGAAGATATGGAGGCAGTGACAGAGTTACCTTCTTGGGCTCCATGATCACTGCAGATAGTGACAGCAGCCATGAAATTAAAAGACGCCTGCTTCTTGGGAGGAAAGCGATGACAAACCTAAACAGCATCTTAAAAAGCAGAAACATCACCTTGCCGACAAAGGTCCACATCGTCAAAGCTATGGTTTTTCCAGTAGCGATGTATGGAAGTGAGAGCTGGACCACATAGAAGGCTGACCTCCAAAAAATTGGTGCTTTTGAATTATGGTGCTGAAGGAGACTCTTGAGAGTCCCCTGGACTGCAAAGAGAACAAACTTATCCATTTTGAAGGAAATCAACCCTGAGTGCTCACTGGAAGGACAGATCCTGAAGCTGAGGCTCCAATTCTTTGGCCATCTGATGAGAAGAGAAGACTCCCTGGAAAAGACCATTGTGTTGGGAAAGTATGAAGGCAAGAGGAGAAGGGGACAACAGAGGACGAGATGGTTGGACAGAGTCATCGAAGCTACCCACATGAATTTGACCAAACTCCGGGAGGCAGTGGAAGACAAGAGGGTCTGGCGTGCTCTGGTTCATGGGGGCACAAAGAGTTGGACACAACTTAATGACTAAACAACAATGTGCTAAACTAAGTTGCAACTGAAGAATGTTCCATTTGAATCAGTAGAACGTACAGAGGAGTTGATCCACCAAATCCCTACTGATTCATTGGGTATACTCTTGTGTGACTTACTATGTTGAATAACCAATGTCTGAATGCTGCAATTGATTTCATTTGGAGAGTTTTAGCAATGTCCTTAATGTACATAATGAAACTGCAAAGATTAGAGAGAGCTTCATATTGGCCTTCTTGTGTTGATGGTTCATTTTGTGGATGTAGTTTATTTAGAATATCTGAGTTTAATACCCAGAAATATGCATGAGCTGCTTGCTGGTGCACATAATCTTTACTTGGTAACCCAGAAGATTTAATGTATCATTTTGTCCATACTAGGGACCTGAAACAGGGATAGAAAGCTTTCAGTTAAATTGAATTTGAATGATGATATCATCTGGCCCCATGACATAAATTTTTGCCAACAGGATTTTGCTCACAGATTTGCTGGCTAATTCAGTGGTTTAGGTATCCATCTGCAGAGCCATAGGATGGGAGTCTGAGGTTGCCTTTTAGGATCAAAATCAAATGGCTAACGTTTTAAGCTACTTTATTTGGAAGCTGAAATAGTTTTTATAATTTCTGATTTATAAAATTAATTTTATTGTATTTGTTTATATAGAAAATCAAACTGTAAAAATGACGGCAACGGGAACGCTTGTATTCCGACACTTCAAATATCAAATGAGTGGAGTCTACACATGTTCCCTTGTATTTAAGCCAATTGCAGAACAAGATGAAAAAAGCTATTTAATTAAATATATTATTTATGGTAAGTGATAGAACTGCCTTTTTGTACTACAAATCTTTTATACTTTTTAATATTTACTGATTTATTGAAATTAGAAGGAAAGTCCAGTTCACACTTAGACACCTTAAAATTGGATCAGGTTCAGTGTTATTCATTTATTCATTTATTCATTTATTTGATTTCTACCCCGCCTATCTGGACTACTAGACCACTCTAGGCAGCTTCCAATACAGAATAAAACAATAAAACACAAGAATGTATATAATCATTCAGTAACAATTATAATAAAATAAAAAAGAAAATAGAGGAAAAATAGGAAAAGAAATCAGGAATTAGCTGGAGGGAAGGCCTGGATTTACAACCATGTTTTTAATTGGGTTTTAAAGATACCCAGCGTAGGGGCCGCGCGAATCTCCAGAGGGAGGTTGTTCCAGAGGCGAGGAGCCACCGCCGAGAAGGCCCGCTTTTGTGTCTTCTTCCGGGCCTCTCTCGGCGTCAGGATCCTCAGCCGCACGGGCGATCCAGGTAGACCTTGGTGGAAGCAGGCATTCCACCAAATATCGAGGTCCTAAACCGTTTAGGGCCTTGTAAGTAAGCGTTAAGAATTTGAAGTCGACGCGGAAATGAATGGGCAGCCAATGCAGTGCGGCCAGAGTTGGAGAAATGTGTTGGTATTTTCTCACTCCGGTAAGGAGTCTGGCCGCCGCCTTCTGCACCACCTGAAGTTTCCGCATCAGCTTCAAAGGCAGTCCCACATAGAGTGCGTTACAGTGGTCTAATCTTGAGATTACGAGCGCATGCACCAAGGTAGTGAGCGCCCCCATGTTGAGGTAGGGCCGCAGCCGGGCAATCCGCCATAGGTGGAAAAAGGCGGTGCGGACTGCCGACGCCACCTGCGTTTCCATGGTGAGCGTTGGGTCCAAATGTATGCCCAAGCTGCGGACCCCACTCTTCGCGACCAGGGTCACCCCCCCAAACGTGAGAGAGTCACCCAAGCCACCAACCACGGGGCCACCCACCCTCAGAACTTCCGTCTTGTTAATTATGTGCAGTACGTTGCCTTTTTGATTTCACTAAAAATAATTCTAATCAAAACAGTTACCGTATTTGCTGGCATATAAGATGACTTTTTTGGCCCAAAAAACATGTCTCCAAATAGGGAAGTTGTCTTATACACCGGGTGCACTTCAGTCAGGCCAGGAAGGAGCTGCCGCTGTTGAGTGAGTGACATGGGGCCACGCCGGTCGGGGAGGAAGGCAGGCAGCTGGTCAGTCTGGACGGAGGGAGGGAAGCAGAGCCGGCCATGCCTGAGCAGCCAGAGCTAGCCACTGGACAGCCGCTTCCCCTCCTCCTCCTCTGCTGCCGCTGCCCACCTGGCCGCTTCCCCTCCTCCTTGCTGCTGAGCCAGCTGCCTGCCCACTGCCAGACAGCCACTTCCCCACCTCCTCCTCCTCTGCTGCCGCCACCCGCCCAATGCCACCCACTCGCTTCCCCTCTTCCTCCTGCTGCCGCCCGCCCAGCCTCTTCCCCTCTTCCTTGCCCTCCTCCCCGCCGGCCATGAACTTCCAGGGCAGGCCCGGGCAGAGCCCCGGGCAGCCTCCGCCAGCGCAGCAGCAGAGCCGTCCACTCTGTATGTTGAGTGGAAATGTTGGGGGGTCATCTTATATGCCCAGTCATCTTATACGCTGGCAAATACGGTATTTAAATCTCACTAGTAGGGAATGCATGTAACCCAAGATAAATTTTATCTAATTTTTTCAATCAGGAAATTTAAACTAATTGTTAATGTTTATGTTTTTTCTAAAAATAAGTGGGAAAATGGAAGGATGAAACAAGTATTTCATTATCCTGGTTTAAGATTTGGACCAGAATGTTGATGCAGTTTTGTCATACTTGATAACAAACAGATAAACTATTTCCATTCATTTTTGTTATACTGCAGTGAGACTTTAAAACTGGGCTTTTAAAAACCTAATTATATATATTCTCGGGTTCTTATGTAGTGTCTCTGATAGGCTATCCATTTCTGCAATATCTAATAATTTTTTAAGTAATTCCTCTTTCTTTGGAATTTTCTGCATTTTCCACCTCTTGGCCCAGATCAGCCTTGCAGCTGTGAATATGTGCAGCAACATATATTTAATTTTTTAATCAACAATTTATTGTAACTATTTTCAACAAAAAACATTTCTGGTTTAAAAGTTATTTCTTGATATATAATTTCTTGTGAAATATCTTTTATCTGTCTCCAATTTTTTTTTTTTTTTTTTTTTTTTTTCGCAAGTCCACCACATATGAAAAAAAGTTTCTGGTTGCTGAGAACACTTCCAACATGAATTGCTCTGATACCATTTTTGCTAATTTTACAAGTGTATAATGTCATCTGTGAAACATCTTTAAAACTTTTTCTCTCAAATTTATATATTGTACAGAGAATCTATAGTGGTGCCTTGAGTTGCGAACTTAATTAGTTCTGGATGATGGTTGTAACTCACGTTGGTTGTAACTCAAAGCACCATTTCCCATAGGAATACTTTGAAAAACGATTAACCCGTTCCATCCGTTTTTTGGTTGTATCTCAAGGCGTTGGTTGTATCTCATAGCATTAGTTCTCATAGGAACTAATGCAAAAGTGCTTAATCCATCTACTACCACTACGGGAAGACTCTTTTTTTTAACCTAAAATGACCTCTAGGATTAAAAAAGGACAGGAAAGGAGGGAGGGAACAATGGGGAAAAGAGGCCTTTTTTCCAGTTGTATCTCAAAGCACTGGTTGCAAGTCAAAGGAAATGTTGCGACTGGAGCTGGTTGTAACTCGGATTGGTTGCAAGTCAAGACAGTTGTAAGTCGAGGCACCACTGTATTAGAGATTATCGTATCACAGTCATGAAGTCATGAGCTTTTTGAATGTGGTGTAATCCCAATTTATTGATCAGTTTCCTGGGAGGAAGAGGAAGCTGTGGTTTAAGTAAGTCATGATTGTCAGATCAGGAGAGTAAGGAAGGAAGCAAATAAGGAATATTATTGGATTGATGAATCTCAGATTCAGACAGGTTATGCTTCATCCATCTGACATTATGTCTTAGATAAACCTTGATATACAACTATGCTACTGTTGTGATAATTGTGTTTGTTTGTTTGTTTGTTTGTTTGTTTGTTTGTTTGTTTGTTTGTTTGTTTATTTATTTATTTATTTATATGCCACCCACTCTACCCAAAGGTCTCTGGGTGGCTTACAACAATTAAAATACAATAAAAACATAAAACAATTAAAATATAATTAAAATGTATACTCTAAAAATTGCCATCCGGACCCACAGTTGATATTATTTCAATTAAAAGCCTTCTGGAACAGGAAGGTTTTGACTTGGGGCCAAAATGTCATCAGTGTCGGTGCCAGATGAATCTTAACTTGGGATGGTGTTCCATAGTCTGGTGGCAGCTGCCGAAAATTCTTGTATTTTCCTTTTCTTTATCAAATTCTTCTCACTTCCCCCGCTCCAAACTGAACATAATTCAATTCCGAGCATTTTTGATATTTTAAAGAAAAAGACTGCTGTAATGAAAATCTGTTCCTTATGTGGGTTAATCAGGAATGTTGTTTGATTTATATTTTGGGGCTACATTTTAGTATTCTTTTTCAGCTTTGATCTAAAATATTGGATGTTAACAGTTCTTGTTCAGTACCACAATCTACTCCTGGTCTTGTTTTGGCAGAGAGGATATACTGTTACTCCCTCCAACATTACAATATTAGAGTAAAGCTCAGATAGAACACTAAAAGAATTGTAATGCTGAAGTACAATTCAAGCAACATTCCTGATGAATTTGAAACCCAAATAAGGAACAGAAAAACTGGTTGTTGGAGATACAACACAGTTTGTTCAGATGGGGTCAATAGGATACCTTTATGGTACCATGGGTCTTCAGTCTCATCTATAAGTAACCCACTGTACCCTCACATACTAAAGGTGGTTGGTTACCTGTCTTCAGTTGGACCACTGTCAAGCCATCTGCATCATTCCACGGTGACTATAATAGCTGTGGTTCACCATTTTCCTAATAATCTCTAAGTACATCTGCCCCCCCCCAGCCTGATCTTATCACCCAACAGTGAGGCCGAGCGAGGCACCTGGATCTTCCTTCCTTGTGGTTCACAGGCCGGAGAGTGTGTTGCCCTCTCTCCAGCTTCTGCTTTGGTGCTCAAGGCTACTCAAAAGCCATCTATTCTGGAATCCTAAGGATTTTACCCCATTACTTGTGCTGTTATTCAAGAGTTCCTTCTCACCTGACAATAGAAGAGATACTCCTTGATCAAAGCTAATCCTGCAGCAATCCTGGCTAGTCAAGCTGTTTCTTCATACCATCAAACTCTTTTTATGGATCCTTACTTTAAGCAAATTACACTTGTTATTTATCAGATCTTTGTTTTTGTTTTTCCCAGTTAACAAAGTCTCTTCTTGAGCCCATGGCAATATGTTACATCTCTTGGAAGACTATCTCTCTTCTTGCCATCACCTCTGCACGAAGAGCTTTGGAATTACTGTCCTCTGCTCTTATCCTCTTTACTTGAATTTCCATGCAGATAAAGTGACATTGTGTCCTTATACTTGCTTGCTTCCTAATGTTCTCTCCACTTGTTGGATGTTAAAATATGTTATTGTTTTCTGTTGTTTTCTTTTTGGGTGAACCAGAATTGAAGGGCACGGTATGTGTGTGGTGTGGGGGTTGGGTGGAGCTACCACCAAAACGTTCTCTGCTCTGAAATGTTCTGATTTATTCTGCTTAGACACAGAAAACCAGTAATGTGAATTCAAAGGTGACCAGTCAAAGAACAACCATTACCACAGCAACCTGCTGTTATCCATACTTGGCTTTTCCTCATTTTCATTACAAATTCTCCTGTCATGTCCAGGAGATCCCCTCTGCTGTCTGCAGTTCAAATTGCTTTTTGATAATGAACTGCTTTGCCGGTAGAACCTTTTTTTTTTTTACTTGGTGGGACAATTTTAATCATTGCTGTTGTTTTTCTCTCTTTTAAAAAACCCTGTAAAATATTGTATTTATATCCTACTCTTTTTCTCCAAGGAGTTCAACATAGATTCCCTCATCTTCATCCTTGCAAACAACCTTGTTAGGTGGGAATGCTGATCCCAGTCATCCGCTGTGCTTTGTGGCTGAGTGGAGATTTGAACCTCAGGTTGTAATCTTAATATTTTAACAATTTTAGTACAATGTATTTTAGTACACACAGTTAATGATGGGACTTCCTGTTTGAGGACAGGGGAAATCCCTCAAATATCAATCTAAAGAAATTTCCCCAATATAGGAATGGAGATTGTTCTGAATCTTTCCTGCTTTCCTTTGAGAGAGCTTGTTGGGACTTTGGAGTTAAAAATGATGAGAGTATGTTAATTTTAAGGTCACAGATAGGGGGAGTTTTATCTGAGATCTATTCACAGATGCCTCTTGAACAAGCTAGAGATTTTGAGGCTTACAGAAAGATGATGTATGCCCAATTTGGGATTAAATCAGAGCATCTCAGGAGAAAATTTCGATCTATTTCAAGGAAACCTTACGAGTCTTTTGCTCAACTTGTGGCAAGGTTAACTCAGTATCTTAATACGTAGCTAGAACAAGAACATGCAGAAAATTTCGATCTATTTCAAAGAAACCTTACGAGTCTTTTGCTCAACTTGGGGCAGGGTTAACTCAGTATCTTAATAAGTAGCTAGAACAAGAACATGTCACCTCCTTAGACCAAATGAGAAATGTGTTTGGATTAGAACAATTTTATTCAATTTGACCAGTGGAGTTGCATTATCTTGTCAAGGACAAGGATCCTAAAAATGTGCAATAGGCGTCCGAATATGCTGATTTTATTAGTGGGACCAGAGAGCCTCGATTCTGAGGTAAAACTTGATAGAAAAGTTTGGGATGACAGGAGGAGAGTGTCCACTTCCAGTAGGAATGACCTCAGTCATACTCAAGTGAAGGAAAACCATTTTAAAGTCAGA